ACCCCCCCCCCCCCCCCCCCGATATTGCCTCCGGTGATCATGAGGATGTGGCGCTTCTTTTCTTGGTACCGGGGGTACTCCTCCTCCTCTTCTTCCAGGTTCCCAATCTCCCTCTTCTTGCCGAGGGGGATAGTGTTGGGGTTTACCCATGCGTTTGCTCTCGCAGGATGCCCTCGAGGTGGCCCTTGGTGAGGGGGGCCATGTTGCTGAGGGCCCTGGATTAACTGGGACAGATGGCCCGCTTGTATCAACCTTTCGATGGCCGTCTTCAGCTGATGGCAGTCATCGGTCCTGTGCCCCTGGTGCCGGTGGAAGAGACAGTAGGGGTAGTTTGGATTGATGACAAATACTTCCGGGGGTGCGCGTGAATCTCGCTCCACTAGTCCCCTCTCCTCAGCAAAATCAAGAATGACGCTGACGGGGTGCGTCAAAGGTGTCCGAGGGTGCTCCAGGAGAACAGGCTGTGCCCAAGCCCTCGGGTTCCCCTTGTAGCCTCCCCCGGGCTTGGCTTGGACGTGCCGGGGGCGATCACCGGAGGGGGCAGAATCCTTGGGATGATTGCGGGGAGCCCCCAGCCCCTGGTTACCTTTGTCGTCTGGCCGAGATGATGTTGATCCGGGATGTGGTGGCATTTCTCCACCTCCTCGGCTTCGGCGTACCGGTCCCCCCGCTGTAGGGCCCTTATATAATCGCGGGGGGGTTCGATGATGAGGCTCCTCGAGAAGTTCCCGGGGCGGAGTACCGTTTGGAGGAGGGCCAGGAGGGTCCCGTCGTCAGCGCCATCAACTTTATCAGCCTCCGTTCTCCAGCGCTCCAAGAAGTCCCGAAGGGTCTCCTCCTTCCTCTGCCTCACTGTCAGCAAGTGGGAGAAGTGTTTTCTTGTGCGGCGCCTTCCCGCAAATTGCGTCAAGAATCGTTGGGCGAGTTCTTGCCATGAGTCAATGCAGCCCTCGGGCAATCGATTGAACCATTCGTAAGCCGGCCCCTCTAAGGTGGAGAGGAACCAGCGGCACAAATATTCATCCGATGCCCCCACCATCATCATGTTGTTTTGGTACCTGCTGTAGTGCTCTTGGGGGTCAGTCTTTCCGTCGTAGGGCTTGATGAGCTGCCCTCGGTATTTTTCCGAGATCCGGGCCGCCAATACCCTTGGGGTAAATGGCGTCCGGGTCCGGAGCTGTATGGTGGGTTCCCCGGAGCCCTCAGCTACCTTCTTCTGCATTTCCTCCATCTTGGCCAACATTGCCTCATACTTGAGGTCTGTATGAGGGGCATAAGTGGTGGCGTGTGCTTTGGTGGCCTCCATCTCGTCAAGCCTGTGCTGGAGGGCCGCAATGATTTCGTCCCGGGGGTCCTTCGGGAGGGCCTCCGCCCCCTGCGAATGGACGCGGGCCGAGTGGGTCTGGTTGATTTGGTGGCGGGCGTCGTTGGCATGGAGAGGTGCCTTGCCTTTGTCCTGAGGGGGACGCCTTTCATTGGCCCTGGAGACGGATCCGCCACTTTCCTGAGGCCTCTTGAACGCCTTCCCCCCGAGGCGGTCTTGGACCCCTCGGCGGTCTTGCGCCCCTCCGAGTCTCTCAAGGGCGGAGGTCCGGAGTTGTTCTTTGTTCACGTTGTGGCGGTCCCGGGACTGGACTTCCTGGGAGGCCGTATCTTGGGCCATGACCCCCTCGACGTTCCCAATCCGGAGGACCGGGTTCCTGAGGGGGCGTGGGTGAGGAGGTGGCATGATATTCTCCCCGACCTGAGGTTGAAGGGGAACCAAAGTGCCGAAGGCACCCGGGTACTGGGTGAGCGTCTGGATGAAGGCGTAAAACGCCGATTGTACGTCGATTGTGATGACCGGAGGGCTAATTTGGTTCTCGCTCCGGTCCTTTTTCTTGGCCTCGATGCCGAGGCGGGCATCGGGGGCATTCTGTTGAATCTGCTAGCGTAGGTCGACAGCAGTCTGGTCCAACCCGGCAATGACGCCGCCCCCGGGAGCCCTGTTAGAGGCTTCGGGGACGTCGACTTCGCCGAGGGCCAGGTTCCTGTCCTCGACATTCTTGGAGTTGGCACGAGTTGTTCTCACCATTTTAGCTAGGTGTTTTGTGTTTGGCGAGGGGGGGGGGGTTTCTTACTTGATTGTTCGACCTCTCAACGAGAGCACCAAATGATGGATAGTATACCCGGGGGGCAGCTTATCCGAGGGGTTATTACGGGGAATAACTAGAGAGAAGTCAGAGCAAGTAAGAGAGAGAAAGTGTATTGAATATGCAAGTTAAGTCTTTTTAGCGTCCTTTACAACGGGGAAATGGGGTGCTATTTATAGTAGCAATAAATGCCAGATAGGGACACGTGTCAAGCATCCATTGGCCGAGGGGTCACCTCAACTGGTTGGCGCTGGCAATCGCATGTGGCCGCATTTAATGCGGCTGTTGGATGGGACGTCGTACTTGGTATAGTGATCCTTGCGCATGTGGAGCGGATATTATGTCGGAAAAGGTGCCCTCGGTTGTAGATGATTAGCTGAGGGCTCTGAGTACCGGGGACCTCCTTAGTGCCGAGGGCTCTAGGTGCCGAGGGCTACTGATTTTCGCCGTTTTCTCCCAGTTACTTTGTTTTCCTGATTCGGCCATCCTGTGAGAATTGGAGCCTTCAGCCAAGGGGTCGAAGGCACCCCTAGTGCGCACTGTGGGCCGCTTAGTACTTTGGGCGCTGTGATTTGGGCCTGTTGTGCTTCCTGGGCCTATTGGGCCTTTATTGGACTAGTAGGAGTCTGTGGGGCGGGGGTTTCCGGGCCATATACTCCATCACTTACTATCTCGATCAGTATCACTTATATAGTAGTTATGTATTAATGTGTATATTTTTATTGAATAATCACAACTAATAACTTTATGTATTGTTATGTATATATGTATATTAGTTTCTATTTTATTTAGAGTTTTATATCTAATCACTTTATGTATTAGTGTATGTGTACACAAATAAGAAATTTTAAAAGGGTCCGGGTCCTTAACGGGTCGGAATCATATGTACCATACCCGACCCGTTTATTTAAAATACTAACGGGTCCGGATCCAGGTCTGGATAAACGGAATAAAATATAGACTCGTGCCCATTAAAAACAATCGGGTCCAGGCCGGGTCCGGGTCTAGACCCGACCCATTGACAGGCGGATCAGGAGGGATCGCCTCCGGAGGCAAGGCTAGGACTCTTACACAGTCGGTTGTTGACCTCCGGCCTCCATAAATTAAACCAGGGGGTAGGGAAGAGGTTGGCATCCCAGCCTGTCACGGTGTCTAGAGCAAAGAAAGCTATGGTTGAAGAGAAGGACTCCACATGCTTAGTAGTTGAGGTAGAATCAGACTCTGAGGCCCAGTCCAAGGAAGGTGGCAATCCAGATGACCCTTCGGCACCTTACCACACAATTCGCCTGACCATGCGTTCAAGCTCAGCTTCTCTCTTGCACGACAATTTCAAGTTATACTCGGGTTTGTGAGCTTATTCAAGAACAATGAGAGAAAAATGAATGAGAAGAACAAAGTTAACATTCTTTATATGAAAGGTGCTAGTCATCATTCTAAATGCGTCATAACAAATTATTATCACTTTGTAGCTCTTATTTGTTGTGAGGTACACCACAATCATTACCATCATTATCATTATCATTATTATTATACTTTTTTTTACACAACGATTATGTGGAACGACGTGTAACGTTAGACACGCTCCTAATTATAAATGTGAAATTTTGACTGTTTATAATATAAAAATTATAAGTGGTACAAGGATGACTCAATTGTAATCCATGTTATGTCTCCCTTTCAAAAAGTTGAATATTATTATTTAGGATTGTCTTAATAGGTTGAAGCAAGACCTATAAATCAATCTCACACCCACATTGAATAAACTATTTTCATTTAAAAAATTATCTGCACGAGCTAAACATAATAGACCAGTCTCACACCCGGCGTGACCCGACCAAACCCGTTTCTATCCATTTTGCGGTACCCTCTTTGATAAAAGCTCCACGTCCGTCACTAGTTTCAGTTAACCTACCATGACAACATTAGGATTTTCTATTATGTGTACGAGCAATATAGATTATTACTACGTACTCGTATGTGTTTATTGGTCAAAATTTTATGTTACCGAAAAATGAATATTGTAAGAGCAAAAACTCTACATATAATTAATGGAAAGTTTAATGAGTATGTGTAATTAAATAATTAAACGTGAATTTGGAGACTATCTCGTGAGTCCGTTCACCATAGCTCCTTTTGAGCTGTTAAACCACCAAAAGATCGATTGAATAATGGGAAGGTGTTTATGGTAAATTTGAGCTACAAAAAAAAAGCAAATGAGGTTGGTGACGCACCGATGCGGGCAGTTGTTAGCTTGTTTCTAACGTCTCTACCCTTTTTCCATTTTTAAAATGAGAAATATATATTGTAAATTGACAAATAAAAAGTACCACGGTTCCATAAAATAGTTCTCACGAGGATTTGGACATGAGTTTAAGAAAGTGAGAATAAAATTGAAACTTATGATTGTGATTGAGTAAAAAAAATGTAAATGCATGGTAGACATACAAAACTTTTCAAAGGGAAATGAGAACTGTTTTTTGGGACGGACCCAAAAAGAAATCAAATTTTTTTTTGTGTGAATTATGATTTAGTATAATTTATGAATATATAAATTTTAATTATCTGCAAAATAATAACTTTGTGGCCGATTAATAAGTTTGAAAATCATAAATTGTACTCCGTAAATCAATTTAGATGGATTAATAAGTACTCCCTTCGTCCCACAATGAAATAAACAGTTTGACACTATTTCGACATTGTTTTGCACTGTTTCGACACTTTTTGGCACTGTTTTGTACTGTTTGACATTGTTTTGATGTAGATTAACTTAGAACTTGTTTCTGTAAATCCAAAAAAAGAAAGTGGGAACTTCATTGGGGGGGGAGGGAGGGAGTATATATAGAAGTGATCATCATCATCCATAAAGCTAAAGGCATGATATGATCGACACCATACACTAACTACGAGTCTAGTCTACCGCAGGGGCTTTCTCGTTCACCTCCCTTTCTTTCTCTCTCTCTCTCTCTCTCTTTCCATGCCATATATATACACATTCACGAGGTGACGCCAGAGGAAGATGAACTGAACAAGACAGCGGTGGCCGTTACGAAAATTAAAGCTAGCTTACCAATGTCGGTTCTTTGATCCCTTAATCTATCTCTCTTGTTTCTTGGATTCATGTTGTTCGTTAATCTACTTTCTGATCTTTCCTTTTTTAAAATTTATTGAACAACGAATGTAATTCTCGAGATCCATTCATCATCTTGTTTTCATCGCTAGTCCATTGTAATGTGGCGAGGGCATTGATCAAATGATACGAAATTTGTTAAATTCAACAGCAAATGTGGGGGAAAATAACAGAAGTAGGAGAATATTACCCGAAATACTACGAAAAAGGTTTGAAAATTGCATGTTTTTATTCCCAAAATAGGACTAATTACTGTCAGGACAGTAACAGACTTCAAAAAAATGGGACAGTCTTATTTTGGAATTTTCAAACTATTTTTAGTCCTATTTCGAGAACTTTCTGGAGAAGTATATGATAGTGGAGGTTACTGTTACATTTTTTAGTTCAATAGTTTCATGATTGCTTTCTCCTGGCGTCTCTGACATGAATTTGTAGAATTGTTCAATACTCATTCATGAAGCAATGGCAGGAACCTTGTCGTTTAAACTTTCCTTCTTTTTCCTGCTTTATTTCAGTTTGTCAGAAGAATATGTTATTAGTTCAGAGGGGTTGAATTAGTGGCGTATTCGGCATGCAACCTAAACTTTTCTTAATTACTTCGGGTTATTTGGTTAAACGTACTCTTGATTGATCCAAATGTGCCTGTCAAACTATTTTACTACCCAATCCAAGTAATCATAATAATATACTCCAGAAAAAATCTTCTGCCTGTTTGTTAACATAAAAGTCACTGGAAGTTCTGTGGTTTGCGTGTTTCAGATCTTACTGGTAACTGGTAAAAGGGTAGATGCCGTTGCAGAGTTACAGTTGGTTCAAGATGAGTTGGAATTCAGAGATGGAATCTCAATACACGGACACAATCATGCCGTACAACTCAATTGGAAGTTTCATGCATTTCTTCGGAGGGGTAACCTATGACCATTTGAACTATATCTTTGCTGATGTTCCCTATGCTCAGGTACATTATATTGTTTCATCTTTTGTTTACATACTACGTTCTTTCATTTTCTGGCCTAATCAATGTTCTCTGGTCAAAACAATTCATATTTTATTTTTCATTAGGTTTTGTGTGTTTTTTCAAGATCAACAACACTTTTCATGTAGTTTAAAAATATAAATGAGCAAGTATTTTTTACTAATGCCGACTAATACTTAACAAAGTCTAATTTACAGTTGGTCATACCATGCATGTTGCATCAGCCGGACACATAAAATGTACTGTACTGGTTTTGAGTATAGCAGATGCAGTTTCATTGTATCCTTTCAAATGGAAAAACTTTAAGCCTAAAATGGGAGAATATCTGTGGCTGTGTACATAGTATTCTAATGTGTGTGCATTTGATAGATAGATCGATAGATATCTCGTATTAACGTCACTAAGTAAATATGCTGTTTAATGTAGTTATTCATGTTTACTGAATTAGTTCCCTTCAAATCGTGGATTATGCTATCTTTTTAATCATGACTGCATTTTTTGGATAACACTTTAGTTAAAATTTGGAAAATATTACTTATTCATTAACCTCCAATCTTATGATATTCTTTGCAGGAGAACTCTTCTGTTAATACCAATATTTACAAATTTGAGCTCTCTGAACCTGGGAGTTTTTCTTATTATGAATTTAGTCATGGTGGCTATAGTGAGAATGGTCAATTTGAAAACCCTTTGCAGACGGTTCGTGTTAATGAGGCAGTAGAAGAATCAGCAGCACATATGCATGGACGAGACAATTCAATCTCCACCTCACATTCTAATTCCGTGGAGTGTGAGCCCACTTTCTGGTCACTCCTGATTATTTGTTGTTCTGGGCAGATATTAAAGTTAGGAGAAATAATTCCATTTTTAACTGGCATAAGCGAGTTGTTTGTAACTTTGTACTTATATTGTCTTCACACTATTCTATGGCTGTTCATAAATAAGATAGTTGCAATATTGATTACTTTTTGTACTGCAATCGTTCAGGTTCTAGTGGGTATCAGAACACTTGTGATGATGATGAGGTATAGTATTGTTTTATGGTCCAAGGTTGCATGCCCTTCTTCTTTTGTATGCATATCAAACACTTTAATACCATTTGGTGGAGGCTTGGAGCATCCTATTAATGAAAAAACAAATTTGTCATTCTTCCTCTTTCTGAACTGATGCAGGTTGTGTGGCAAGATAATATTGATCCCGACAACATGACCTATGAGGTTTATCATCTAACCTGTTGAATTTTCATCATTGTGAATTATGCTAATTTTTATCCAGATAAATAATGAGTATTCATCATTGTGAATTTTCTTTTTCATAGTGTGTGTGTGGGGGGGGGGGGGGGTATGAGTCCACTGAGAAACCCAGCCATTTTCATCTCCATCTATTTAAGTAGTCATCTTCTGTTAAGTACTAAGTAGGACTATATGATTCGGGACTTCGGGTTGACTCTGGCCTGGGTTTTGTGTTTAGCGAAAGTAGAAAATAAAATATCTGAATACAAAGCTAATTAATATAGGTGTGGTCAAGATATTTCTGGCTTTCAAGAATGAATAAAAACACTTGGAAAATATATACAGCAACCCACTAGACGAATAATGCAGTCGGGCTATGACATGGTGTGGGTTGTATGAAGGAAAACTAACAACATGAATCTAAATTCCTAGACTTTCCTATTTTGATTGGTTTCCAGGAGCTACTGGAATTGGGAGAGACAGTTGGGACACAAACCAGAGGTCTTTCTCAAGAACTAATCTCTTTGCTTCCTGTCACAAAGTTCAAATGTGGCTTTTTTTCAAGGAAGAGATCAAGAAAGGAGAGGTAAGATGCTTCCAGTTTTAAAGGGATAGGGGGTAGCCCGGTGCAAGAAGGCATCCCCGCAAGGTGAGGGTCCGGAGAAAGGCTCCACCCCAAGGGTGTATAAGGGGCAAGCTTTCCCCTGTCAAATTTTGACAAGAGACTGCTCCCAAGAACCCGTGACCTCTTGGTCACACGGAAACACTTTAACCAGTGCACCAAGGCTCCCCTACAAAGGGATCTCTTACAAATTTGTTTATTACATGGAGATTTATATAATTATAAAAACCTCAGTGATTTTGTAGACCATTTTCTATATGACCTGAAACATGAAAGAACTCGCGCATGCACTTGTCCATTTACTTTTAGACAATCAACTATTACCAAATTTCATGTCACCTACCCATACATATCGATATTAAGCCATGCATGTAATCATGATTTATGTTCTATTGAACATGTTTTTTCTTTATGTACAGGTGTGTAATCTGCCAGATGGAATACAAACGAGGCGATAAACAAATCAATCTTCCATGCAAACATGTGTATCATACTGGTTGTGGCAGGAAGTGGCTGAGCATAAATAAAGTAAATTAATCACACTACAACTAACCATAGAACATATCGTAACATAGTGTGTCATTTACCATATTGCTAACTGTTACACTATAATGTAACAGGCATGCCCGATTTGTTACTCAGATGTGGTGGTTGTTAATCGATCAGCATAGGTGCCGACTAGGGACGCATCGTCTTCGTTCAAGTTTACAGAAGATATGCTCATTTTCATTTATAGAATATAAAAGCAGCACTAAGATGGAGATGTAAGTTGGAGATGTTGGATTTTACATTATATAAACATTTATCATCTTCAGCTATATAGTAAACCAGATGAGTAAAAAGGGATTGTAAACTTCTAAAATATTACACTTCTCGATCTGATCAGTTGACAAGTAGTGTGAAATTAATCAAGAAGGTTAACTTGTTTGCTAATAAACAATCAATATTATTGGTTGTTGTTTCGCATTCTCAAGATCTCGACTTTCCAATTTCTCTATTTTCGACTAGTTTTGAAAACGTGATTATCAACATAGATTTCTAATGTCATTATGGTGGTGGGGGATTTCAATTGGTCATAGTACTCATGAACGGTGGTTGGCATGACATCTGGTGGTGAAGAGATGACAATGATTGCTAAGAATTGTAGGCAGTGGAGGCGACGATCGGAGGCAGCGGTGCTAACGGTGCTTGGCGTTAGTGGCAAGTGGTGACAGTCGTTGATGGCGGTGGTGGTGATGAGTGATGGGAGTATGGATCGCCGGCATGATGGTGGTCAATATTTTCAAATTTCAACAACCAGTATGACTACCATTAATGACTCATATGAGGTTTTTACTTGGACTGAAATTTGTTGGTCTGGTCAGGTATGGTATGGTAAATGTTTGGTTTCTATTTATCTTATAACTGTCCAAGTCTAGTCTGGGATTGAAAAAAGTCCAAGTAAAAACATGCAGAGTCTAATACAGTATGAGTCATTAATGGTATTATTACTCCACAGGGAATGACGGATCAATGCCATTTAGAAATTGTTGAATTGAGTTAATGAGTTTCAGTATCTGTGTCAAAAGGAAAACATTAGAATAAAAATATTAGAAAATTATTTGAATATTATGAAAGGAAAACATTAGAATAAAAATATGACTCGTTATAATCATTATTATTCCATAAAAGTGACTACTTGTCATGTATAAAACAAATCTATTTAGAGAGCAAAGGTCTCTCTACATTTTGTGCAGCCTTTCCCTCACGTAGAGTTTGATTTTCCGCCAACCGTTATAAGCTTGTATGGCCAGAGAATTTTAGCCTCGCGTATTGCGCAAGCTTTGTTTTTGTTCACATGTTCGTCTTCAACGGCTCGACACGGCAAGATGAAATCATGGAGTTCATTGTTAACCAGTACGACACTTTGCTACATGGAGGCTTCTCCTACACTTTCGATTGCTCAATAGCAGAGAATGTTATGAATAAGGAGAAAGGAGAGGAAGAAGATGTAGTATTGTCAGTTCATCCCCCTCCTGAACGACTGTCGTGAAGGAATCTTGTGCTTAGGGTTTGGAAGATGATGTTTCAAGAAAGGAGACCACATAGTTCCTATTACTATCAGAGTGCACCAAGGATGGACATCTAATCCTTTCTTATTTGCTATATGATCATGGATGAACTTATGAAGTCAATTCAAGAAGATATACCGTGGTGCATGCTGTTTTCCGACGATATTGTATTGATTGATGAGACGCAATCCGGTGGTGTTAAAGTTTCAGACTGAACCGAAGCAAGACTGAGTATATGGAGTGCAAGTTTGGTGGGGGTAGAAGTAGTAGCAACAGTGTGATTACTCTTGATGGTAAGGAGATATCGGTGTGTGATATGTTTCGTTATTTATGCTCCATAGTTCAGAAGGATGGTGAATTAGATGGAGATGTACCCCATAGAATCAGAGCTGGGTGGATGAAATGGAAGAGTGCATTAGGATTTTTATGCGGTCGAGGTATGCTGACTAGACCGAAAGGCAAAATTTTATCGAACAACATCAATTAGGTCTGCATTAATGTATGACGTAGATTGTTGGGCGGTGAAACAATGTCACATTCAAAAGATGAGTGTGGCAGAGATACATATGTTGTATTGGATGTGTGGGCATACCAAAAAAGACCGTTTGAGGAATGAGATGATCAGATTAAATGTGAGAGTAACACCTATAGAAGATAAGATGCAAGAATCGCGTTTGCGGTGGTTTGGGCATGTGCGTAGAAGACGGAGTGATGCACCTGTTAGATGACTTGAGGGGTGGGGAGAAGAGACAGAGAAGAGAAGGAGAGGAAGACCCAAACAGACTTGGATTAGAGGAATCAGAACTAATATGCATCTTCTTGGGTTGGATGAGAGTATGGCTTTGGAGAGAGCAAAGTGGAGGGCGCACATTCGTGTAGACGATTGATCTCTTTTTTATCTTTCATTGCTCTTTTTCTTTTATCATTTATCTTGTTTATTTCTTTTATGTTCTTATGTTTTTTTATCTTCTAGCTTTTTAATTCTCTTTTATCTTTTTATCTTTTATCTTTCTTATATTCTTATGTTTTTGTTATCTTATAATTATTTATCCTTATTGTATCCGTTTTATTTTACTTTTTTTTTCTTCATGTTTGTCTTCTCTTTTGGCATCGATATCATGGATCGATTCATGTTAGCTGATCCCAAAATCTTTTGGAATTAAGGCTTGGATGTTGTTGTTGTTGTTGTTGTATCTTGCTCTTATTTTTATTTTTCGGTTCGAACTGAATGTTGTGTTGGTTGTTTTATTTATTTTGACTAGTAGAACTCTAGAGTTTAGATTGAGTAATGAAAGTTCTATTGCGTGTGCCGTCTGTCATTGACTCAGTTAAGACCATTATAGGATCAACGAGTCATATTACTTTTTTGGAGGTGATAGACTCTGAGTCTGGTTCGAGGGCTAACGGTCGAAAAAGGACTTTTTGTCTTTTTGTATCTTACCTGAATTCTGATTATTCAATATAAGTCACTTTCATCCAAAAAAACAAATCTATAAGGCCGCCTTTTCCATCAATAGTAATAGTGATACAAAACCTTGTATGTGATACAACATACCCTATAACCACTCAGAGTGTTTATAGTGTCAGACTATCAACGATGACGCCAAAAAAATCTAATGACTCATATAACACACTACGTAATCCAGTAACACTTACTTCTTCCGTCCCTTAAAACTTTGTCAACTTTTGTTTTTTGGTTGTCCCAATAACTTTGTCACTTATCTTTTTAGTAAAGAAATTACGGTTCTAGACAACTCTCTCTCCTCTGTACAAACCTCAACTACACAGTTTTTACTTTATTAATCCCTGTATCGGTCAAACTTGGCAAAGTTTTAAGGAACAGGAGAGTATGACAGATGTCCCTGATAGGGACATCTTTCCTCCCACATTAAAATTAAGTGACACAGCCACAATCCTTACTGCCACCACACTCATCACTAATTCACTATAGTTGTCCAAAGCCCGGTGACCCTTACCTCAACCTAGAGAGCCTAGACGATCACTTTCAATGCTGCAAACCTGGAGACATACACCACCCTTTACCACCGCTCCCGGTGAAAGCCCGGGACAAGCTCGGTGAAACGCTATCTTGATAACCCGCTTCACCCCATGTAACCCCATTCACCAACTGAATGTCGCTGAGCTAAAAGCCTATCTATCAATCATGGAAAGCCTAACCGATGTTTAGGCGAATCTTTGTCATTCACTGTTGAATCTGATGAAGGTGTGTGACAATATGCTCTGAAATAGAGCATACCCGTCTCGCCCCATGGAGAATGGAGATAGATGGCTGATCATGTGCCAGAAGATTACTGAAAGTATGCCGTTTCAAGTTTGGTTGGTGTAGAAGATTGCTGGATATATTATTGTGTTCATTGTACTCACAGTCCACATTTCTATTATTATCTTTACTTTGAAACTTCTGATTTTGTAAATGCTTGTGGAGGGATGTATTGCCGTGCTCAATACATTCATGAATCCGTTTTTCCTAGGGAGAAGGTTTTGCTCTAGATTTGTCTAGCCACTTTGATGGGGCTTTTTGTACTACACTATTGTTTCATATGATAGTCATTGCTGCATTGCATTGACTTTATTCGCTTCAATATCAATTATTATTATGTGGAAACAAATAACAAACACTGTTTCTTACTTTCTTATGGGAGTGCTCAAAGTATCTCATTTGAAATGTCAATTATGCAAATTAAATGTCATAGAAACTAAACAAACTTTGATTTAATACACATTTGAAGGAAAGAACAAAACTAACGCACTCTATATGTAGTTCTGAATAGCATCTATCATTTTAGAAGGATCCGTCTCGCACTAAAATCTGTTAATTTCAAACGAACTGTGCTCAGTTGATTTCTACCTTATTGCTAAGCGTGCAAACTAATTTAAATAAGGTAGAATCCGTAGAAACACACATTTAAAGATAACAGAAAATAATTTTATCTTCAATTGACAAAGATTTCAAGAGAAAAAAACGAAAACACTTTTAAAAAAGATTATAAATGAATTATAGAAAATGAAATCACGTGTCTTCAAAGCTCATGTAGTCATGTGAAATTAGCAGATTTAGTACACAAAGTAAACGACCCCTTATACATAATTCATACACCAAGATTATTTGAACTCAACAAGCCAACGAGACATCATCTATGGGTGATGGGTTAGGGTGACATTCCATCACAGCCATCACCTGTCTCACCATCTTATTAACAACGTACTAACATTAGCAACCAAATGGGAACATAGGTATTTTACGTGTAACCCAAGATGAGAATATTACAATGATTAAAAAAATATTTAATCCCAACAACTAATCATCTAACATCCACTATACAACTACACAAGTCACCTCTTTCCACATTTTTTAAGAACCACATCATTCAAAATAGATGATCAGGCATGTGCTAGCAACTACTGAAGCAAAGGGGTGTTGGAAATTTAGCTCTAGCTGAGTTGTTTTTTTATAAAGCTGATGATTTTACATGCAAAAAGATATGTCTACATGAATAGAAATGGTCGAGAAACTGCAAAACAAACATATCTGGCAACAGAAGTAGCCAACAAATACATCTAAATCACTGAGAGATTAAGCCAGCACTATTTGTTTTCGGCATAACAATTTGCTAAAGAAAATTCGTGCCAGTGGATGCAAATAAGCATATTCTTCTTACATAATTTATCCTTCACCTGTTGCCAGGAAGATATCTTGTCTTGGGATATATAGGACATCTGCAAATAAATATTTCCATTGGAATTTGTAACCAGATAGATGACTTTCCATATTCCCCGAGAAATAGCATGCAATTTTCTTCCACAGCTGCTTCCACCAAACTACTGATTGAAACGTCCATTATGCATAAACCTGGCCTTCATGATTCATCTTCTCAGGGTTTGCACCACTTCTTTGGGATCTCCACACACTGTTAACCTTTGTGATAAAAGCTGAAAACTAGAAAGAAAAATTGATGGTTTGGTAAAAATAAAAACAACACATGATGCTTAGGGTACAGTAGTTTGAGTTTGAGAAGGCAATGAGGAAGCTGCTGCTATTGCTGCTGAAGGTTGTTCTGACGGTGCTTGGGGGGGCACAGAGATGGGCTGTTGTGGTTGTGGTTGTGGTTGTGACTGGAGTAGGGTTTGTGTAACGGGATTAGGCGGGTACAGAACTTGAAGCTCCTGGGGTCCATACATAGCTTGGTGAGCTTCAAAGTGCTTACGCTTGGAAATGTGCTTTTTACCAGCAAGATGACGGTCTAGAACTTCCTGAGTGTCACACTTGACGTTACACAAATCACATACCAAAGGAATTACGACTTTGGGTTTGTGAGGTCCCCTTTCTGGTCTCCCAGAAATTCTCATCCGCTTCCCACCACGGCCACCACCCCTTATCGCACGTTTTGATCCACGCCTCAGATCATTCACTTTGGCCGCCTCAATAGGTAGTACGACAGGTTTTTCCGGTTCACCTTCTTTTTTATCTGTGGTTTCAGGTGCAGCTTGGGATTCAACATTTTGAGATGGAAAATTCCCTACTACTAAATCATTAGCAGCAACACTCTTCCCATTCTGTACTTCACTAACAAATGTGTTCTTCAATGGCTCCAACTTCTTCATGTTCTTCAGATGCCGCTTTCCGAGCTTGTGTTGTTCAAGAACATCCAGGCTTGTGCAATCAGCATTGCATACCTCACACCTAGCAGCAACTTTTGGTTGCTGGTTATTGACAGCTGAAGCTTCCGTGTTGGAGGATGATGGTGTAGAACCACCTCTGCCCTGACTACTTCCCCTTCCTCTTGAAGGTTTCCCTTGACGTCCACCTCTGAATGGAGTCCCTCCCCGTCTATTACCAAACTTACGAGGAGCTTGGGAAGTGGCCTGCTGGATAGATAGGTCTCAAGATAGTTCATTTAGGAAAAAAAAACTATTGCGGTAAATGAATAAAGGAACTTAATAAGTAAAAACTAAATTTTCTCTTTTATAAATTAAACAAAAATGATCATCTCTAGTCCAAATTCCCCCATTAAAGAGATTTCTCTTTCCGCAATTATCTTCTAAACGAACTAGTTAAAAATCTTCTTTTGCTACTTGCAATTGCAAAGTTTCTGTGTGATATCTTCTACTGCTCTAGTCTGCATATCTGATTCAACCCAGTAATTGACTAGAAAGAAAAATAGAAAAACAATCTAACTGAACATAATTAAGACTTGTTACCTATCAAGCATGCTAGAGATGTCAAATAAAATAAGACATTACATATGCAGATGTAAAACTCAAACAAGGCACAATGACGTGAATGTGTACGTTTTTTATATGTAGCCCTAAAAATAACACTGATTCAGGGAAAACACCAGCGGAGAATGTAAACCAAAGGCCTCAAACTTACGGAAGGATGTAACATAAAAGGTTGCGAGCCGTGTCCAAGGGCCAAACCGGGACCACCAACAAGAGGCGCATACGCATCGGGCTGTGAATACCATTGGGGACCTCGCTGCAAACCCGGAGTCAGATAGGTCATCGTCGACGCTGTCGCCGCCGCCGCCGCAGAGGGACCCGTGCTTAGCTGGTGCGCAGGATGCTGATATGCGCTCTCCTGACTCTGCACAGGCAAGCCCGTGGAAGACGGATCCGGAACTCCAGGCGGATGAATCGGCTGGCCGTGTTGTTGGTGCTGGAGATGAGCATTCGGTTGTTGGTAATAATAGGGTTGTTGAGGATGATGATAGTGGTAGGAGTATGGATCATAAGATTGAGATTGCAATTGCCAAGACTGGTATTGTTGTTGCTGTTGAGCCGAGAAATCCATAGTGTCGGATTTCACTACCTTTCTGGATCTGCCTGTTTTGCTTCTAAGGGTTTTGAGCTTTCAATTCACTCAGTTCTCCTCCACTCCGCTCTGACCTGACTGTACGCTGTGTTTGGTCTGTGTTGTCGAAATCGGACCCTGCAACCACCCGCCCAAGAGAACCCGGATACGCCGAATCAGCCCGATTGCAACGGTACGGTAGACTAATCGGTTAGGTATGCTGGGCGCGGGCTAGCCGCTAGCATACCTAAAAAACCTTTAATTTCTATATAAAAATCTTTTCTGCAAATTTATACTCTCTCCGGTTCTAAATAAAGTTCATTGTTTGACTTCACAAAAATTAAGGAAATAAATTTGATTTTACTGTACAGTACACTGTTGTGACATTGTTTGACACTGTTTTGCACTGTTTTGATGCAAATAATTTGCCAAATAAGGAAGAGAGAAGAAGTGTGAACTTTATTTTGGACCGGACCAAAAAGGAAAGTGTGAAATTTATTTAGGACCGAAGAGAGTATAAAAAAGAATGGCATCTCATCCCTGAGGGGCGGGCCCTCAACACCGACCAGACCGTTAGATGAGAGGATGTAAATTTGACTTTAATCAAAAGCTGACAAATAGAGAGTGAGACACTGGCCCTAGTACTTGTAGAGGTCCTATGCATTTTTAGCATAGTAATCTCTCATCGCAGTTGCCGGGATTCGAACCCGAGACTTACCTCTTGTGGCACCCTCTATCTACCAGTTGAGCTACGCCCATTGATCTCTACAAATTTATATGAATTGCGGATAAGTGGTACTAATTGCATCCCACTAACGTTGAGGCATGAGGAAGTGAGTTTATGTAGTTGATACTGAATTGATAAAATAAGAATAAAATAAAATGATTTAGAGTCACACAAACTTTCTCAAATTTTGTATGAAACAATCTTGTTGGGATTTTTCAAAGGAAAATTGAGACAATCTTAGCGAGACAGAGGAAGTAAAAAATAAGAAAAATGTGTGTGTACATATTTTTATACACCTTTTCTACAGGCTCTTTAGCGTTTTCAAAATATGAAAACGTTGTTTGTAAATAGTTATTCAGCCCTAACATTTTTAGAGGAAACCGTTGAAATGGAAACGCTGCAAATAGGAGAGTTTTGAGTTAGCGTTTCGAAATATGGCATTTTCTATTAAATTTTATTACCAAACAGTTAAATTACCAAACATCTTCTAACAACTCGTCAACTCTGTCAATCAAACCCGTTGACTGAATCCGCTATTGACAACTCGTCAACATAACTCGTTATCACTAACCGCAAAATGTCACCCAATATAATTGCTTATTATTACTACCTTCGTCCCTTAAAACTTTGCCAAAGTTGACCGGCACGGAGAATAATAAAGTAAAAATTGTGTGGTTGGGGTTTGTACAGAGGAGAAAGAAATTACAGAAACCACAAAATAATTGATTAAAAAGGAAAGTGTCAAAGTTTTTTGGGACGTCTTAAAAAGGAAATGTGGCAAAGTTTTAAGGGACGGAGAGAGTATAATGTAGGCATCTAACTTATGTTGAAGAATGAAGATGGTTGCATACTTGCATATAAGTTTGAAAGTTTGAATCCATCTGTACTTCATTCCCGGCCAAAGAATGATTTTTCGGTTGCTTCCTTTGTTCCAAAAAGGTGGAATCTCCCACCCCAGGAGCCCCCCACCCCGACCCGACAGGATGGTGGGGAGGTTAGTCACGGTGACTCAGTCACCAGAATGGCAGTAGGCCCATACACCCGTGCGCACCAGAGGCCCAGCCTTATTTCAGGTTCTGTGACCTCCACCCGGTCGTTGCGGGGATTCGAACATTGGTCCATTGTTCCAAATCTTTCACCACTCGACCAACTGAGCTACTCATGCGGGTTTTTCGGTTGCTTCCTTGTTCGTCCGATAACGTAACCTATATCCTTTCCAAATAATTTAGACTAATGAAATTAAAATCCATAAAGGTGAATCTCTTCAAGTGGGTTTATCAATAGGGTTTTGACGTAAATATTACTAAAAAATAAATTTTGGACAAAAAAGTTAAAAAGTCATCATTCTTTTTACTTTCCAAAAATGTGACTAAGCATTTATTTTACTAATTACCCTTCTAACTATTTCTAAATTACCCTTCACAGTTAGCACCGCATAATGCTACTGGAAGCTGGAGCAATAGCAAAGCCGTAATAAAGCACGTAACAATGCATTCCGTAATAATTAAGCCACAACAATGAATGCTTGTTTGTTTTTTATGTTGTCTTTTTTTTAAATACCCAAATACTTAAATTACACTTGTTGGGATATTGACCTAGAGGCCCAATACCCAGATCGGGAAGGCCCAAGATATCCGGCCCAAGTAACAGGCCCATCACTCTATGATGAAAAGATCCAGTAAGGAGACATGCCGAACGGGGTCCGGCCCAAATAAAGGTTGGCCCAATGAGAAGACATACCGAACGGAGTTCGGGCTATATATTATACTTGGACCAATTTGACAGCATCTTCAGTACGGACCAACATCCCGTTCGAGCAACAGCCAACCAGCAAGTGGCCAGGTGCATTTAATGCCAGACTATGACATCAGCAAGTGGAAGCATGGATGACCAAGTCGGTGGAACAACGGCCAATCAGCAAGAGGCAGCCCATGCTCTCCATTAGTATAAATAGAAGGTTTCAAATCATTGTAAGGGTTAGCATTTCAATACTCAAGCTCTAGAATAGCATCATTTGCTCTTATTTCTTGTATTAAAGCATAGTTTCCGACTTACTGATCGGGAAATCCCTTGTAATCAGATTGGTTAATTAATACAAGTGGGCTTTCGAGTTTTAGTTAGTTCAGATCTTATATTTTCTTTTACACTTTGATTCTGGGCCATTCCTGATATATCCAAAGTTCGTGTTGGGCTTTCGGATCTGCGGGACTTACCCTCAACATTGGCGCCGTTTGTGGGAAACTTGCAAAAAGTTTCACTTTCTAAACATCCAAAAAACCTCTATTTCTAAAAAATGGTCAGAATCAATTCCTATCATACAAACGACGGTTCACACCGTCACGGGAGGAATCACACCTCGGGGAGTCAAAACTCCCAGGGACAATCCAGTCGAGGATCATATCCTCGTGTTAATGGGGATTTTGTGATTCCTGAATCTCTGAGGAGAAATCCCCAGGCCATGCGTGACATGGCCCAATTCATGCAGCACATGGCGAACGAAGAAGAAGGAGGGTCCAGCTTTACAGGAGAAACTCCACGCGCGGAAACGACTACAGCGTCATCCCGCTCACATACCCATCGGGATAACCGACGTAGCGCCCCACCAGCAGCGCATCCCAGTCCCAGTGACCGAACCCCGGTCGGGTCGCAAGCTAGAGGACCAACTCCCGTCGGTCATCATTTCCAGTATGCCGAGCGGGAAAATGCGAGGGCCCCTCAGCGGCATTGGGACCGGGACTGTACGGATATGAGGGTTCCACCACCGCCCCCTTTGACGGCCCAGGAGGAAGAGATGGCCGAGATGAGGAGGCAAATGAATGAAATGTGGGACCAGATGAACAGGGTACCTGTACAGCCTGCGCCAGTTCAGCTGGGAATTACTTCCCCGTTTACTAGGGAGCTCATGTACGCGGATATCCAAGGGGGTGCCAAACCCCCGACCGGCCAAATTTACGATGGAGTGGGAGATCCCCACGTACATCTGAGGAGTTACCAAGGGGGACTTATGCTGCTAGGAGCACCCGAGGCCGCCATTTGCCGTTTGTTTTTCAGCACGCTCAGAGGGCCTGCCCAGGAATGGTTCGGGACACTACCGCCCGGGTCAATCAATAGCTTTGCCGAGTTATCAGTGTTATTCTTGGCTCAATTTGCTTCCAGTGCCAATCCCAAACGGCACTTTAGCTATTTGACCAGCGTAAAGCAAAACGCCAAGGAGACCCTCAACCAATTCCTGAAAAGGTGGAGGGATGAAACTTTAACAGTGGGAAGCATGACGGATGATACCGTCATTACCCTGTTCACGAATGCTCTCCGAACGGGGGAGTTGTACAAAGAATTGAAGAAGAATCCGGGTACGGCGTACGCCGAAGTGTTAGATAGGGCTCGCAAGCATGCCGCCCTAGAAGAAGAGATAATGATCAGGGATAAGGTCATTACGCCTGCTGCCCCGATCAGACTGGCCGATCGGCTGGGTCCTAGCCCAGCGGCCACTTTACCTCCCAAACAAGGGAGATTTACACCCCTGGTCCTATCAATAGCGACCATCTATCAGAACGAGAGGGACAATATTCTCATCCCGACTGATTCTGGACAGTTCATGGGAACGGATGACAATGCTTTCTGTAAATATCACAACAGAAAGGGTCATGCCACCAATGCCTGTAGGGCCCTGCAAACAGCAATTGAGGATCTGATCCGAAGGGGCCATCTGGGCAAATATGTGAACAAAGATCTGAATGCAATGGGCACGTTAAAACCGGCCAGGAAACCTAATAGCTGGCGCCGGGATGCTCAACGTGACGCCCAGCCTCAAAATGATGTGTATGTTCCTCCCAGGGATGAGCCAGAGGGCTCGGGAGGCCCCGGAAAGAAGCCTCGAATGGAGGTCAAGGTCATATTTGGGGG